GTGTGTATTCACAGGCAGGAGTGTACTCTCCAGATGGAGGTGTATGCTAGTGAGGAAAATTTCAGTGAGTAAAGTTCAAGTGATTTAGAGGAAATCTGTGATGACATCTTTAAGTGGTGAAGAAGAAACAAACTGTTCGCCATGAAATTGTTGCTCAACGAGTGCCTTTTCCGTACAGCCAGCGGGGTTCTGTGCCTGGTGGGTGTGCCACTATGTCCCCTTCTCTGCACAAACCTTATACCAGGGCTTATCAACTGGCGGCCCGCGGGCCATTTCCGGCCCACAGATGAACTACATTTGGCCCACCAGTGGGTTCATTTTTAAATAAGACTAGATTTTTAACCGTAAAACAAAGTTACTTAATGACAATAACTACTGGATATCTGACCACTGAGCTCTTGGCTTTCAGTAACTGTAGCCCCCTGAGAAGTTTTGTTGAACAGTCCTGCCTTAGACTTTAGACAAACCTTATGTCCAGTGTGCTCTTCCTTTCTTTCCTCTTCCAGCTCTGTCTCAGAGTCTGTTTTTCTTTTTTGTCTTTGCCTGTTCTGTCTGAAAAGACAGCATATATACAGTATATATGTATATATATATATATATATATATATATATATATATATATATATATATTAGTTATATGTTTACTTATTACTCCTTGGCTCCATCCATTTCTGGGTCCGCAGCTCCACCCCCCAGCTCAAACAGAAGCTGCAACTTCACGTCTCATTTTTTTGACTCAAGCATACTGAAACTAATTAAACTAAATGCTGAACACAACACACTACACCCTAACTATAGAATCCAAACACGCTAAAGATCACAAATCTCATGACTCACTCCAGCTCTCGCTTGTCTCCATCTCCAACAAACTTTCTTCAGCTTCAGCGTTTTTTTCTTCTTGTTTGTCTTACTGTAGACTTTTTAGCATTTGGCAAATAATTTTGGGTCTTGGTCAGAAAGGCGGTGGGGGGTGATAGTGGAGTGGGGATAGGAGTGTTTTCTTTGCTGCTGCCTCCCACTCTTCAAATATGACAATCATTAGTCTTTGCGTGAATTATTTATCATAACTCTGATTTTGCTTGGCCTATCAACAAAGTTTAAAACTGGTTTATTGTTTAAAACAAGTTAAACAAAATATATGTATTTACTTGTTATGTCTCTATCATATTTTGCTGGATTTGTAATATAAAAATGGTGAATGTTGATCTTAAAGATATGAATCATTTTATCCATCCATCCATTTTCTTCCACTTATTCGGGGTCGGGTCACGGGGCAGGTTAAGTAGAGAGGCCCATACTTCCTTCTCCCCAGCCACTTGGGCCAGCTCCTCCAGGGGAATCCCGAGGCGTTCCCAGGCTTGCCGAGAAACATAGTCCCTCCAGCATGTCCTGGGTCTTCCTCTGGTTCTCCTCCCGGTGGGACGTGTCCGGAACACCTCACCAGGGAGGCGTCCAGGAGACATCCTAACCAGATGCCCGAGCCACCTCAACTGGCTCCTCTCGATGTGGAGAAGCAGCAGCTCTACTCTGAGTCCCTCCCGGATGATGGAGCTTCTTACTCTTATCTCTAATGGAGAGTCCAGACACCCTGCGGAGAAAACTCATTTTGTCCGCTTGTATCCGAGATCTCGTTCTTTCGGTCACAACCCAAAGCTCATGACTATAGATGAGTGTAGGAACGTAGATCGATCGATAAATTGAGAGCTTCACCTTTTGACTCAGCTCTCTCTTCACCACGACAGACCTGTACAGTGCCCGCTTCACTGCAGACTCTGTACCTATCAGCCTATCGATCTCACGCTCCACTTTTCCCTCATTCATGAACAAGACCCCAAGATACTTGAACTCTTCCACTTGGGGCAGGACCTCCGCCATGACCCGGAGTGGGCACTCTACCATTTTCCGGCTCAAGACCATGGCCTCGGATTTGGAGGAACTGATCTTCATCCTGGCTGTGTCGCACACGGCTGCAAACCGCTCCAGCGAAAGCTGTAGATCATGATCTGATGAAGCCAACAGGACCACATCATCTGCAAAAAGCAGAGACGTAATCCTAAGGCCACCAAAACGGATCCCTTCAACACCCTGCTCCTCGGGGTCCCAGCCTGGGCGGCTGTGGCTGAGTGGTTAGAGCAGTCGTCCTCCAATGTGAGAGTTGGGGTTCGAATTCGCCAGCAGTCACATGTCGAAGTGTCCCTGGGCAAGACGCTGAACCCCTCATAGCCTCTGATGTGTGTCCCATCAGTGTATGAATGTGATCTAAAGCACTGATTAGTCTCTTTTAAAATGAATTGTTCAATTAGCTTTGTAGAGCTCTAGTAGAGTGCTGTATGAATGGGTAAATGAGGACACAGAATGTAGTGTAAAGCAATTTGAGTATCTTGAAATAAGATAGAAAGGCACAATATAAGTATAGTCCATTTACCATTACCATTTACCTTGGCTGCGCCTAGAAATTCTGTCCTTAAAAGTTATGAACAAAATCGGTGACAAAGGGCAACCTTGGCGGAGTCCAACTCTCACCGGGAACAAGCCCGACTTACTGCCGGTGATGCGGACCTGGCTCTGACACCGGTCATACAGGGACCTAACAGCCCGTATCAAAGGGCCTGGTACCCCATACTCCCAGAGTACTCCCCACAGAGTTTTCCGAGGGATGCGGTCGAATGCCTTCAAGTCCACAAAGCACATGTAGACCGGTTGGGCAAACTCCCACGCACCCTCCAGGACCCTGCTGAGAGTGTAGAGCTGGTCCAGTGTTCCACGGCCAGGACGAAAACCGTACTGCTCCTCCTGAATTCGAGGTTCAACTATCCAACGGACCCTCCTCTCCAGAACCCCCGAATAGACCTTACTAGAGAGGCTTAAGAGCGTGATTCCCCTGTAGTTGGAACACACTCTACGGTCCCCCTTTTTGAATAGGGGGACCACCATCCCAGTCTGCCAATCCAGGGGAACTTCCCTCGATGTCCACGCAATATTTCAGAGTTGCGTAAGCCAACACAACCCTACAACATCCAGAGTCTTAAGGAACTCCAGGCGAATCTCATCCACCCCTGGGGCCCTGCCACCAAAGAGCTTTTTAACCACCTTGGTGACCTCAGCACCAGAGATTGGAGGGCCCGACCCAGAGTCCCCAGGCTCCGCTTCCTCAGTGGAAGATGTGCCAGTGGGATTGAGGAGGTCTTCAAAGTATTCTGCCCACCGACCCACAACATCCCAAGTTGAGGTCAGCAGCACACCACTCCCACTGTAAACAGTGTTGGCAGCGTACCGCTTTCCCCCCTAAGACGCCGGATGGTGGACCAGAATCGCCTCGAAGCCGTGCGGAAGTCATTCTCCATGGCCTCTCCAACTCCTCCCATGCCCGAGTTTTTGCCTCAGCGACCACCCGAGCCGCATGTCGCTTGGATTGCCAGTACCCATCAGCTGCTTCCGGGGTCCCACAGGCCAAAAAGGCCCGATAGAACTCCTTCTTCAGCCTGACAGCATCCCTCACCGACGTTGTCCACCTTCGGGTTCGAGTGTTGCCGCCGCTACAAGCACCGACAACCTTGTGGCCGCAGCTCCGGTAAGCCGCCTCGACAATAGAGGCATGAAACATGGTCCACTCAGACTCAATGTCCCCCACTTCCCCCTGAACATGTTCGAAGTTCTCCCGGAGGTGGGAGTTAAAACTCCGTCTCACAGGAGACTCTGCCAGTTGTTCCCAGCAAACCCTCACAATACGTTTGGGTCTGCCAGGTCTGACCGGCATCCTCCCCCACCATCGGAGCCTACTCACCACCAGGTAGTGATCAGTGGACAGCTCCGCCCCTCTCTTCACCCGAGTGTCCAAGACATGTGGCCGCAGATCAGATGAGACGATGACGAAGTCGATCATCGAACTGCGGCTTAGGGTGTCCTGGTGCCAAGAGCACATATGGACACCCTTATGCTTGAACAATGTGTTTGTTATTGACAATCCATGACGAGCACAGAAGTCCAACAACAGAACACCACTCGGGGTCAGATCAAGGGGGCCGTTCCTCCCAACCACACCCCTCCATGTCTCACTGTCATTGCCCACATGAGCATTGAAGTCCCCCAGCAGAACAAGGGAGTCCCCAGGAGGTGCACGTTCCAGTACCCCCTCCAAGGACTCCAGAAAGGGTGGATAATCTGAACTGTCGTTTGGTGCATAAGCACAAACGACAGACAGAACCCGTCCCTCCACACGTAGGCGGAGGGAGGCCACCCTCTCATTCACCGGGGTGAACCCCAACACACAGGCACCAAGTTGGGGGGCAATAAGTTTGCCCACTCCTGCTCGGCGCCTCTCACCAGGGGCAACTCCAGAGTGGAAGAGTGTCCAGCCCCTCTCAAGGAAACTGGTTCCAGAGCCAGAGCCATGCGTAGAGGTGAGTCCGACTATTTCTAGCCGGAACCTCTCAGCCTCACACACCAGCTCAGGCTCCTTCCACACCAGTGAGGTGACATTCCACGCCCTAATAGCCAGCTTCTGTAGCCGAGGATCAGACCGCCAGGGTCCCCGCCCTCGGCCACCACCCATCCCACATTGCACCCGACCCCTTAGGCCCCCTCCCACAGTCATTAGTTATTTTGTCCTTATATGTAAAATTATAAAACTGAAGGAGGCTAGAATTTTTTTACCATGAAAAAAAAATTATAATTTTAGATGACTGAGAATGTACAGCAGCACTTTTTCCTGTGACTCCATGTAAACTATCAAAAGTACACATAATAAATAATTTGTCTCTCTGCCATTGTATTTCAGACGGGACAGAAGAATAATTTACATCAACATACGTACCCATTTAGCAATAAAATATTTTATTCTAAAATTCATCAACGTTTGCTCAGATCTTTTGTTGTTTGTTTTATACAGTTCATGCAGGGCTGCGATGGAGCTTTTGAGTCTTCACGTCAGACTTACCTGTCCAGTGTTTCTGCATGTGTGTGTAGGAGCAGAGTGTTGTACTGTGTCTGTGTGTCTGCAGTTGCACAGCGTCAATCAGAGCAGTCATACTTCAACATCTCCATCCTCCGCTTCTCTGGAAGAGATCATGGATCGAGCCTATGAAAGATACAGCGTGGGCCTTAGCCGAGTTCAACTGCTTTACAGCAAGTCAGGTGACCACATATGCGTGCGCGCGCGTGCACACACACACACAAACACAGACAGAAACACACGTTCTTGTAAACATACTTTTTGGGGACTTCACATTGACTTCTATGAATTTTCTATAGCCTAACCCTGACCCTTTCCCTAAACCTAACCAATAGTAATGGTAAACTAGTACTAGGCAACTAATACGTAGTAAACCTAACCCCCCAATGAGACTTCCCCTTTTTGGGACCTGGCTTTGGTCCCCACAATGTAGAATTTTTTTGTAAAATTGGTCCCCACAATGTAACCTGAAACAAAAATGCATGCATGCACACACACACACACACACACGCACACACACACACACACACACACAGAACTGTACAATTACAAAAAACAACAATTGAACTGATTCCAGGTGAGGCCTGGAAGTCTGCACGGCTCCAGAGTTCATCGGTCCAACACATCCTCCAGCCGATGGACTTCACTCTGCATTTGGCCAAGTGTATGATCGAAAAAGATGCTCGAATGCCTAGGTACGATTCACCTGTCCAGTGGCTCTGCTTCTTAGTTAATTTACGCCGTTAATATCACAGTCTGTTTTGCCCTCTGTGCTTTAGGTTGAAGGTGTCAGGAGAGCTGCCACTACTGCACGTTAAGATCTCAGACCAGAAGATCCAGAATGTTCTGGAGTTGGTTGACAGCATCCCCTTGCCCAAGATGGACTCCTCTCCGTCCACTCCAACAGAGAAGGTCAGAGTTTGTTGACACACTCTGATTTAACTGATGTAACTTAGCTTTGTTCTAATCTCTGTCTGCAGGTCTTACCTTTAGTGAAGGTCCTACCACAGGCAACCAACCTTGACCCCATCCTCCTCGACACATTTGAAACAGGTAAGAGATCATCGTGCTCTGATTGGCTGGTAGACTATAAGCTGAAAGCTGCTTCAGCTGTTGTACTAATCTGAGTTTAGATTCAGATGAGGATGCCAGTGAGAAGTCAACAGATGAGGAGCATCAGCGCTCCACTTTGGAAGAACTCATCAATGTCCACTTCAAGTTTGAAGTCAGAGAGGTGTGTTGATTTTTCCTCAAAGGTTGTAAAGGTGGGGATGTAGTGTTCTATGTTGACCTCTGAGGTGGTGTGTGTTCAGATGCTGTTGGAGCTCACTGAACAGATGGACCAGGAGAAGACTGTCCTGTCCTTTAGCATCTGCCAGGTGGGAGCTGAAGGGAAGATGCGGAGCTTCGATCTGAGTGTCACCTCGTACCTGCAACGAGTTGTACTTGACTACTGTGATGTTCCAGGTAACACACAGGCTTTTGTCATGTTTTTTATTCAATTATTAAAGACAATGACTTAAGAGTTTACAACTGGAGTAAATTTAATATACAATCATAATCATCTCCATTAATAACAAGTCCTCCCACTGTAAATGTCAGGGTTTTTTTGAGCTGCCAAGGTGTATATTTCTAGCCAGTGTCTGTGCATTAAGGATGTAGGACTATGCCCTTGAAAGGAAAATCCCACCCACACACTTCCAGCTTGCTAACAGGCTATCAGAAGTCGATCACAGTGCAACATGGCACTTTTCTTTAAGCCTCAAAGAACTAAATGTAATTAAATAAGGTAGGACAGTAAATAGTTCACACAAAGAGGCAGGCTTAAATTGTAAATGGACTGTACTTATATAGCACCTTTTTTTTCCATTCAACCTTTATTTAAACAAATAAATCACATTGAGCCTCAAAGACCCATTTACAAGTGAGACCTGTTTGGACAGACAAAAAACAGTGGTTAACTGGACACATGTAGGAGTTGGAGGCAAAAAAAATTCCTATCAGATTTTTTTTTCTTGCCTGAGAAAAAAAACCCTCTGATATTAAAAAAAACACCTTGCACTAACAAGCACACATTTACATAATCATTCTGCAGACGAGGGAGACGAGAGCGGTCAACAATGCTTATAGATGCTCTCGAGGTCACTTTAATCAGTCAATGTCCTCCGGTGAGATCCATAAACATTCTCGAGGTATGTCGAGGAATGGCCAAGAATAACCTCTATGAGAATCCAAGAGTCCTGAAATGATGACACAAAGTTTATTCAGCTGGTTCATCTGGTTATCAGTTGGAAATTCCTCAGGGAGGGGGTGGTGAGCATCAGATCACATTTTCTCCAGGTGAATTCAGATAAGGTGGCCTTCAAGGCCAGCCAAGGGGAGCCAGCTTAGATAAACACACAGTTGTTTTGGGTACAGGCAGAACTTAATGACATCTACCTTGAGTCTGAGTTGGTCAACTCGGTTCCGAAATGTCCAAAATAACATGGCCACACCGATGGAACGTGACTGAGTAAAAATCCCCAAGATCTGATCCATTCAGCCCAAAGCATTTGAGTCCGGGTACACGAGACACGAACCAAGCCATCAAAAAGGCAAGCAGCATGATCGGGTCCAAATTTGCTGCCGACGACTTTCTTGATTGTAGATAAAATCAGCACCAGCTGAATCCAAAATAGCAGGAACCAGTAATCGAAAATCCAATTAAATATGCATCCTTAAAATCCACAAATGGCAGCAGAGAAAGACACATCATCAAGTCTTCCAAGTCGAAGAGATATCCGCTGCGTGCGTGCCAACAGGGCAAATTGGCTCGCCTAAAGCCTGTCTTCTCTTCGAAGAAAACCTTTCTATCTAGTCAAGATACTCAAAGCTCTTTACAGCTCAATCTGTGTCCTCATTTACCCATTCATACAGCACTCTACTAGATCTCTACAAAGAATAATCAGTGTTTAATCACATTCATACACCGATGAGACACACATCAGAGACGATGAGGGTTTCGGTGTCTTGCCCAGGGACACTTCGGCATGTGACTGCTGGTGGAATCAAACCCTCAACTCTCACATTGGACAACAACTGCTCTAACCACTGAGCCACAAGCTGCACAAACTTGTTCTGTGTCATGTACTAATGGGCGCTCATCCTTTATTGCTTCAGCTTCCGACATCCAGTCCTCCATCCACAAATCCATCTCCTACTGCTTATCCGTGGTCAGTTTGGGAGCAACAGGTCTAGGAGAGAAACCCAGACATACCTTTCCTCAGAAACACTCTCCAGCTGCTCCTGTGAGACCCCAAGGTGCTCCCAGGTCAGAGGGGATACATTATCCCTCTAGCATGTTCTGGATCTGCCCCTAGATCTCCTCCCAGTGGAATGTGCATTAGAACTCTCCTAAAGGTAAACATCCAGGAGGCATCATATTCAGAAGCCTAATCCACCTCAGCTGGCTCCTTTTAAAGCAGAGGAGCAGTGGCTCTACACCAAGCCACCCCTGGATGACGGCACTCCTCACCTTATGTCTAAGTTTAACTTTGAGTCCAGCCACCCTAAAAAGAAAGCTAATTTCAACTGCTTTTGATCATGATCCACACCTCATGACCGTAGGTGAGGGATGGGCAAGTAAACTGCGAGGTATGATTTTCATCTTGACTCTTTTTGGCCCCATGGAACCGTGACCTTGAAATTGTAGGAGCTGACTCTCATTTCTCACACATGGCCGTGTATGCTGAAGGTCATAGCTTCATGTCGCCAACAAAAACCACATCATCTGCCAAAAGCAGATATGAGACCCAGAAGTTCCTAAATGTGACCCCCTCCTCTCCGTGATTGTGTCATAAGATACTGTCCATGAATACCGTGTGGAGGATCAGAGACCAGGGACAGATCTGAAAGAGTCCAAACTGCATCGAGGATTAGCTTGACTTTGTGCTGTGTATGTGGACACAGCTTTTGCTTTTATTTAAGGACTGGATAGCCCTTTAATGCCCCTTTTCCACAGTTGCTCCTTGGCCCCGCTTTACCCTGCTCAGGCTGGTTCTGTGTTTTTTTCCACAGGGCCTTCTTGGAACCGGCCTGTTTTTTCAGTACCTACTTCTCTGCGGTTCCATTGAGGCCAAGCAGGACCCTAAAATGTAACGTCAGTGCACTGTCAGTTACTGATTGGTCAGGGGTTGGAGTCATTGGTCAGAGGACGGAGTTTCAGAAACTTCCACCGCAACCCGATCCACCATTTTCTTTTTAACCCGACATTAGAAACAACTCGAATCCGGAGGAGCATATTTTGAAGGTATAAACAAACAATAATGTCACAACCGTGGTCAAATGGTGAAGTTCAGGTGTTTTTGTGTTTGCTGGCCGATGAAAAAGTTCAGAGCGAGCTAGATGGAGAGACATGTAACGAGAAGGTTTTTAAAGAGGTGTTGATGCATTGATAATAATGATCCGCCCACTAAAGGGGCACTAATGGGCACTGTGGAAACAGAAAATGATGCGATCCGACCTGTACCGGCCCAATAAAGGCCGAGCCAAGCAGGACCTATAAAAAATGGGCATAAGAGTGACCCCAGCACCCTGTTTTTCTCATGTTTGATGTGAATGTCTTCCTTCACGACTCCCCCCCAAAACCATCAGTCTTCCCTGTCCAAAAATAAGAAAAAACTATTTTAAACATATGACTCGAGGGAACATTTTGCAGCAGGGGGTAGTTTTTTTGTTTGTTTCTTTTTTTTTCTCACCATTCTCATTTTGTCAGGGTGCGTTCAGCAACTGTTTACTAAGATCCAGCAACTCTCAGTCCGACTAATAATAAAGTTATGAACAAATATCACTGCCTTGTCGTTTTGGGAGCCATGCATGAACCGTGTTGCTCCCCTTTGTTGCTGGGGTGATAAATAAATAACTCCTCCGACACCTTCGCTGCTGTTTTTATGACACTTTGGATGCATTTCACCCACAGCACGCATGCAACAAAGAGTATAAACTCAAAGCGAGAGCGACACCTGCCCCCTCTTTCTTCTTTCGCATTGACAATTTTTTTAGTTTTTATCGATGAGTTTGTCAAAGCACGATTTTGATGTTTTTTTATTTGTTATAAATACAGAAGTAATGTTTAACAGATGTTAGGACTCTATTCTTTGCTAACAAAATATATTTTATGTCATTAAACAACTTGTTAGGTTCTTCTATTGTGAGTAAGGCCCCCAGGACACCCCCCCCCCCCCCCCCCCCCGGCCAGCCGCTCACTCTTGCGCTCTTTGCGGCTTCTCTGCTGTTGCTGCATTGAAGACCAAGTATAGGTCTCTTCCGAACAGTAATTATGGACTTGGATTTGATCAGTTGGTCCCTCAACTCAATTTACAACATTTCTTCAAAGAGAAGACAGGCTTTAGATGAGCCAATTTGCCCTGTTGGCACGCACGCAGCTGGATATCTCATCTACTTGAAGACTTGATGATGTGTTTATCTCTGCTGTCATTTGTGGATTTTAAGGATGCCTATTTAATTGGATTTACAATAACTGGTTCCAGCTTTTTGGATTCGGTTGGTTGCTGGTTTTATCCACAATCAAGGAAGTCGTCGGCAGCAAATTTGGACCCGATCACGCTGCTTGCTTTTATGATGGCTTGGTTTGTGCCTCGAGTACCTAGACTCAAATGCTTTGGGCAGAATGGATCAGATCTTGGGGATTTTACTCAGGCATGTTCCATCGGTGTGGCCATGTAATTTGGACATTTCTGAACCGTTTGGACCAACACAGACTCAAGGTAGACGTCATTAAGTTCTGCCTGTCCCCAAAACAACTGTGTGTTTATCTGAATTTGGCTTTCTCAGCTGGCCTTGAAGACCATCTTATCTAAACTGGTTGATTATTCCATCCTTATCAGAACTCTTACAGTGCCCTCAAGAGCATCCATGGACATTGCTCACCACTCACGTCGTCTCCCCCCCTCTGCAGAATGTCTACGTCACTATGTGCTGTTTATGCGAGGTGTTTTTTAATATTAGATTTTTTTCTTTTCAGCCAAGAAAATTCCTACATGTATCCAGTTTCATTACTTTTTGTCTGTCTAAACAGATCTCACTTGTAAATGAGTCTTGTAGGCTCAATGTGACTTATCTTTATAAATAAAGGTTGAATGAATGAATGAATGAAAAAAGGTCCAGCTAAACATTGAGCAGGAGCTGAGAGTTGCAGTATCATGCTTCAAACCCCACTTCAAAAAGCTGTGCACTGCAAAACGTACTCATTGTAGCCATTAATCCTGACTTCCTCATTTTGATTTTAAAAAAATCAGCACAAATTATTTCATTCATTTTTGTTTTGTAGGTCAATGTGTTTTATATAACACTCCTGGTTAAAAATGTTGCTGGTCAATTTGAGTTTATTATTTTTTATTGATTTGTATTTCATTTTATTTTCAGTATCAAATGGTCAAAAATGTTTACAGTTTAAATAATGATAGTTTTTTTATTTCAGGCAAACTGATGCACTTTAAGTCTTTTCTGTTACAGACTATAAAATTCTGTTAGTTATTCTTTGTTGTAAGTTGATCTATATTCTTTTTTTTCTTTAATGTTATTAAGAATGCAATGTTATGCAGAGGTGTATTTATAACAATTTTATAAACAAATTATACTATTTACAGTCGCGGCATAGAGGTGGGGGCCGCGAAATGTTTGTCTTCCTAAGAGGGGGCATAACAGAAAATAATTGCGAATCACTGTTCTAAACCTAAAATGAGTATTAAGCCTGATACCTGATCAGTTTAATGCTAATTCACACCTTCATGCATGTGACCATACATCTCTATGAGTCAGACAAACAGAGCCTAATGACCTGCAGGAGAGAGGGCAGTGAGAATCATCTGCATGCATTTAGCTGCAGACACAGAGCATGGGAACTCTGGACGTTCCTGTTTTGAATTGATGAGGCTCCACAGATGGTGTGAGAAAGACTTCAAGTACAAAATACAAGTTCACTTGTTTGTTTATTTCATTTATTTCCAATGCTTTGGAAACCCACTGATAAACTTGATACTCTGTTGTATTTGCGATTTTTGTCAAAAATATTCTTCCTGTCATAATAAAATTATGGTTAAAAAGTTACAATTGATATCATTTATACACAAGCGCACATATAAAGGTGGGAAACAAAGAATAAGAGCACTGATGAGATGAGATGTGACATGAATTTACTATCCTGAAGATAATTTAGAAACTACAGAACTTCTAACCACCCAACACCATGATAAGAAAAGTGATACAATCAAAGTTAAGTGAGATAAGTTTCATTCAACCTTTATTTATACAGGTTAATCCCAGTGAGCCGCGTGGACTCATTTGCAAAATAAATACAGTGAAACATAAGAGTTAGCTAAAAGTAGTTATTGCATTAAGTTTGATTTCAGGTGATTCATGCACTTTAAAACCTCAATTTATATTTTGGTACAAGTGATGAAATAAACTAGTAAGATGGGCTTTTAACTGAATAAAACAACAACATATAAATAAAAAGCGTTATCCAGCCTGAAGTCAATTCAATTCAATTCAGTTCAGTTTATTTATATAACGCCAAATTACAACAAAGTTGTCTCAGGGCACTTTACAGGAACATTCACATAAAAGCCAATTAGTAAAGTTCTCTATCTAAGGAATCCAGCAGACAAGTTGAATCTTGGCTTCGATGCAGTCTCCCATCCTGAGCAAGCACAGTGGCAACAGTGGAAAGAAAAACTCCCTTTTAAAAGGAAGAAACCTCCAACATAACCAGGCTCAGGACAAGCGGCCATCTGCTTTGACCGGCTAGTTGAGAGGACAGGAAGGAGAGACAGACGAACACAGAATGGTAGGTCCTGGTGTACCTGAAAGACAAAAAAAAAAAAACCACATGTTCAGGATGGAAAATAATTACAAATACAAAACAGGTTGAGCAGAGTAAGTAAAGACAGTAGTAGAGTGAAGAATTGTGGTCAGTTTGTCCTCCAGCAGTCTAAACCTTTAGCAGCATAAATAAGGGACAGCTCAGGAAACCCAAGCCGACCCTAACTATAGGATTTAGCAAAAAGGAAAGTCTTAAGCCTAGTTTTAAAACTGGATAATGTCCAGATAAAGCTAATGTCCAGAGCTAACTGTCTCTTTTCTTCTCTGAGAAATAAAATAATAGTTTGAATGTGTTTCAGATGGCAGGAGTCCTCTCCACCTGATCAGCTCATCAGAGCTGCAGGGCTCCAAACTGCTGAAGGTGGAGTTCATCAAGGTGAGTCCAAACCAGACCGCCTGCATTGTTGGTTTTTTGTAATGATGTGGAGATGTTTCATGAACATTTGAAAACTCAGCTTCAGAGCTCTGCAGCTCTGACAGACTTCACAGCAGAAACATCATTTAAAGAGGAAGCAGCTCACAGAAACTTGGACTTTACCATACAAAGATTACTTGGTGTGCTGACATTCAGAGTCTACAGCAGGGCTATTCAACTAAACTGCTCAGGGCCTGGACATCCATCCATCCATTATCTTCCTCTTATCCGGGGTCGGGTCGCGGGGGTAGCAGCCAAAGTAGGGAGGCCCAGACTTCCCTCTCCCCAGCCACTTGGGCTCCAACTCCTCCAGGGGAATCCCGAGGCGTTCCCAGGCCAGCCGAGAAACATAGTCTCTCCAGCATGTCCTGAGTCTTCTTCTGGGTCTCCTCCTGGTGGGACGTGTCTGGAACACCTCAACAGGGAGGCGTCCAGGAGGCATCCTAACCAGATGCCCGAGCCACTTCAACTGGCTCCTCTCGACGTAGAGAAGCAGCGGCTCTACTCTGAGTCCCTCCCGGATGATCGAGCCTCTCACCCTATCTCTAAGGGACACCCTGCGGAGAAAACTCATTTCGACCGCTTGTATCCAACATCTCGTTCTTTCGGTCACAACCCAGAGCTCATGACCATAGATGAGGGTAGGAACGTAGATCGACCGGTAAATTGAGAGCTTCGCCTTTTGACTCAGCTCTCTCTTCACCACGACAGACCGGTACAGCGCCCGCTTCACTGCAGATGCTGTACTTATCCGTCAATTGATTTCTCGCTCCATTTTTTCCCCCCATTTTTGAACAAGACCCCAAGATACTTAAACTCCTCCACTTGGGGCAGGACCTCTTCCCCGACCCAGAGAGGGCACTCTACCCTTTTCTGGCTCAAGACCATGGCCTTGGATTTGGAGGAACTGATCCTCATCCCTGGGGCCAGACATCCAGCAATTAGTCATTATGTAAATAAACCAAGTGTTACAATGATCTGTTACCTATACAATTTGTTTATTTTGTTGCATTGAATCATAAATGCAATAAACAGAACAAAAACCCAGGAGTCCCCCCACCATTTCCTTTTTTTTATGACCTCATTGGCGGGCCAGACTGAAGTCACTGGCCCACGGGCCACCAGGTAATAGCCCTGGTCTAATGCATGTTTTTAAGAGTTATGTCACATGAACTTTTAAAGTGTCTAAACCTTCCAACATTTTTGCCAACAAACTTTTTATATCCACAGTCTCTATCCTTATGGTTCAGCTCATAGATGAATGTATAAACTATAAATGTATAAACTATAAATGTGATAAATTACAAGCTGTGTGAGTACCAACACTATCGAGATCCATTTTTCTTCCGTACTTTTTTTGGCACATAACTCTTACCTCAATTTTTGTGCTATTTCAACAATTAATATATCAAACAGTTCAGCTCATTCAGGACATTCCTGCTGTGACTTTTGTTACGGTTTGAAATATTTATCTTTGTCGGCCATTTTTCTCGCATTGAAACTGAACCGAGCTTTTTTACCCTTCAAACTCTTTGTGCTGTTTACAACCTTGGACTCCTCATTTCAGCTTCCTTTAGCTCTTTCAGCTTCTTTCTGCTAATTTAATTGTTAACATTTTTAGCTACTTTTTACTCATTTCAGTCTTTTACCTCATTGCAGTTTCTTTTTAGATAATTTCAGATTTCTTTGTAACTTGTTCATCCCTTCTCTGCCGATTTCTGCTTGTTCTGCTCCTGTTTACTGTTTTTCTGCTGCTTCCTGCTTTTATTTTCTTGCTTCAGTAAATGCCAGCTAGAAGTCCCAGAGAAGGGTCATTTAACATTTCTACCTTTGGAACCCAGAGACGGGTCGAGTGACCTGAAGGATTTTAGCTAACATCCTATAATGAGCTGTTAACAGGCGCTTTTGTTTTGTAAATAAGGCCATTACTGGTGCACCACAGGAGGGGGTATGGCAAGCCCTTTTAACATAAAATCGAGTAGTCTGACTATCTGTAGTTACATTCTAGATATCTTAAATTGAGTTTTGACTAGGCACAATTACATTTTGACTAGTCAGAATGCTAATTTAAGATATCTTGAATTACATTCTGACTAGTCAGAATAACAATTCAAGATATCTTGAATTACATTTTGACTAGTCAAAATGTAATTCAAGATATCTTGAATGACGTCACTTTATTTGTCATTTGAAGGGTCAAACATCCGTAATTACAATTCAAGATATCTCGAATGTAATTATGACTAGTCAGAATGACACTTTTAGATATCTTGAATTAAGAAATGACGCGTAGGACCCGCGGCTGCTACTTAGCTGTTCAAACAGCTGCCTGCAGAATTTTGTGTGGCTGCAATGGCGCTAGCTGTTTCTGGACAACATTGTTAGAAAATGCCACAACTTCCTGTGGCTCTAGTGTTAGCGTTAGACAGTGAGGAAAATGGCTCAGTCTCTGCGCTGTTGTTTTTGTTCAGTTCCTGGTTGTTCTTGTGGGGCAAGAAAACCACCGTATCTGTCCTACCATGCTTTACTGCGCTCTCACAGCCTGCTTGAGTCACCATAATTAGTCAGTGTCTTACCTGAGAGAAGACTGACTGGCTTTTGGATTTTTGTATGTGAATGTGAGGCCCATGTTTGTTTGTTTTGCAATTCTTAAGTATTATTCATATTTATTTTTTGTTAATTTCATATTTATATTCCAGGTTGAAGGTGACAGTTGAGTCTTGTGTAGGTTCTGTTCCACAGTGTTTACTTGTAAACAAACCCAAGTGTATTTTCTGTGTATAAATGATGTCCTTGGGTGAAAGTCCTAAGGTGGTGTTGCAGTAAGTTTATAAAATCAAAATAACATCCATACCCAAGCTTGTCACATGTATGTAAATTGTTCTAGTGTTACGTAGTTACCGGTAGATAGTTTGTTTTGAATTATTTTAAACATTCTTCAATTAAAACACACTTGAGCAGCATACTGTACTGTTTTTTTTTTAATTTGTGGATTGATTCAGTTGAATTACAAGGAAAACAAGTGCAATTTACAATATCTAGTAAAAACAAAAAACATTTAACTATTTAAGTTAACATTTTATAACTGTACACTATAAATTGATAGTGGATTAGATATTTTATCAAATTATGTAATTTCAAATTAAATAAATTGGCACATTTATGTATTTTTCATGAATAACTATTTACAGTATTTACATCTAAAAAGTTAAGTCTGGTCCTCTGGACATTCAAAAAACCAAAACAAACAAAAACAAAAAAAAGGTAGAAACGTTTCGTCTTTCATCCGAAAGGCTTCTTCAGTCTGAGGTGCTGCTCAAAGTCAAAGTCACTTTTATTGTCAAAAACTGCAATATGTACAGGACATACACAGGACATACACAGGACTAAGTATTAAGAGGGCCAAGGCCACATATGCAAAGAGGATCGAGGGTCAATTCATCTCACAAGACCCTCGGAGCATGTGGAGGGGCATTAAGTGCATAACAGATTATAAAGGAAGGAGTGAACAATGTCCCAAAGACCCATCTCTGCCTGATGCCCTCAACAAGTTCTATGCACGCTTTGAAGACCCGAACAGACCACCCAGCACCAGACTCACCTCACCACCGGATGAAGAGCATCTCAGCGTGACCTCAGCAGAAGTAAGGAGTACCTTCAGGAGGATTAATCCGCACAAAGCAACTGGCCCAGACAACATCCCCGGAAAAGTGTTGAAGGAATGTGCTGATCAGCTCTGTGAGGTGCTGGCAGACATCTTTAACACCTCACTTACCCTGGAGACAGTTCCCACCTGCCTGAAGACTGCCACCATCATCCCAGTCCCAAAAAGCTCTACAGTGACTGGTCTGAATGACTATCGGCCAGTGGCCCTCACCCTGATAGTCGCTAAATGCTTCGAAAAACTGGTCATGACTCACATCAAAACAACCATCAACATCAACGAG